TAAAAGCTGTCGTAGGTGACACTTCCAGCTATCCAGCAAGCTCTCATCTGGACTACTGCTCCCCAAGCACCACTGCACATTAGATCGTTGCAAAAGTGTAGAAGAAATCAATGAAGGTTATTGTCAACCATGTAGTAAGCTTGAGTGCTTTTACCACCCAATAGCTGATTTAAGATTACCATTAACATTAGTTATGTATTGAAGGCATGCAATCGATGACGTGACCAAAAGCATGGCAGAGGTCATACTGTAAAGTGGTCTGCATCTTCTCCTGCGTCACTGATGACTCCTGATGGAGACGGGATTCAACGGACGGTCCAGAGAAACGAGGAGAACAGCTAAATATTGGAGGACGAGTGTGAGTGCATGTGTGCTGGAGTCTGCCAGCTGCAGAGCCAATCCAGCAGTTCCACCTCACACTGCAGTCCATGAAGGTCACGGACACCCCCGCACACCCACCCATACCCACACAAACAAACATGCCCACACAGTACACAAAATTGCCTCAGTAACTCTCTTCCTGACCTTTTAAAAACAAGCTTTGCTAAGACTATAATAATCAGCTGGAATAGAAAAATTCACCACACTACAGAGCGATAGGCTGGATAGGGTTCGCTTTGACACCTATAACACAGCAATAAATTGCCTATTCAGGCAGTTTTCATGCTTGTGATGCACGAAAGCACAGATAATTGATTTCATTACTGATATTGTGCAAACACTATTAAAGTTTAGGTTCAGAATTAAACTTTTTAAAACATCTGCATGATTCAGTTGTTGAAATGTAAGCAAAATCACCCAGAGTGACTTGATGTGGAGAGGTTCATCGTAGAGAAACTTACAAACATAGTTTATAGTGGTGGTGATAGGAACCAGGGGTCGAAATGTCTAGAGTGTGAATATAGCCGTTTTATTTATTATGCAAAATGACCAGCGAACCTACACATGACCTCTGAGTTTTACAACACATGTGTTGTTGATTATGCTGAAATAGTGGTCAATTTGAGATTAAATAAATAAATAAATAAATATTTTTGTTCTTTGGAGACAACTTTGCCAACATCCTGCATGCATCTCTCCACCATGACGAGCCCATGATTATAGCCCAAAACCTGATTTCAAAATGATTGCAATACAATATCTCAGATGTCTGGCAAAGCATTCGCAACCATTTCGTTTAATTCATTTAATAATTCATTTAATTCTGTTAGGGAGCCACTAAACTCTTCGGATGTCTGGTTCCCATCACCACCACCGTATACAATTCTCTGTAAGATTCTCTATAACTGAGCATTGAACATTATTCTGAATGACTGTGTTTGCATATTAAAGACTTAATAATACAGATATTTGAATACTAAGGAACACCCTCTTTAACCTACAAACATCAATGCAAAGAATTACTAATTACACATGCACTCTTAAAAATGATGGTTCTTCAAGGGTTCTTTGGTAAAGATAATGGTTTTATATAGAACTATGAACATTCAAAGAACTCTTTGCATGAATAAAGGATTCTTTGCATCGTGAATGACTGATGGAGAATGTGCTGTAGATGGTTCTATATAGAACCTTTTTGAAAAGGGTTCTATATAGCACCCAAAGGAATTCTTCTATTGATTCAATGGCATGCCTGTAATAGTAAAAGAACCCTTTTTGGTGCTAAAAGTTCTTCAGACTGATGGAGAATGTGCTGTAGATGGTTCTATAGGGAACCTTTTTGAAAAGGGCTCTATATAACACCCAAAGTGGCTCTTCTATTGTTTCAGTGCCATGCCTGTAATAGTAGAAGAACCCTTTTTTGGTGCTAAAAAATCTTTAGATTGATGGAGAATGCGCTTTAGATGGCTCTATGTAGAATCTTTTTGAAAAGGGTTCTATATAGCACCAAAAATGATTATTCTATTGTTTCAATGGCACGCTTGTAACAGTAGAAGAACCCTCTTTTGGTGCTAAATATTCTTCAGAGTGATGGAGACTATGCTGTAGATGGTTCTATACAGAACCTTTTTGAAAATGGTTCTATATAGCACCAAAAAGGGCTCTTCTATTGTTTCAATGTCAAGCTTACAGCAAAAGAAGAACCCTTTTTTGGTGCTAAAAGATCTTCAGACTGATGGAGAACATACTATAGACAGTTCTATCTAAAATCTTTTTGAAAAGGGTTCTTTATAGCACCAAAAAGGGTTCTTCTATTGCTACAAGTGTGACATCAAAACAATAGAAGAACCTTTTTTGATGCTACATATAACCCTTTTCAAAAAGACTCTATATAGAACCATTTACAGCACATTCTCCATCATTCTCTAATTGAAGAACATTTTCATGAGGCAAAGAACCCTTTAATCATGCAAAAGGTTCTGTGAATGTTCATCGTTCCACACTGAAGCATTTTCTTGACAAAAAGAATCCTTGAAGAGCCATCATTCTTAAGTGTGTACAGAATATTCACTTAAATAACCCAGTGAAGAATAATCACCTCTGAGTAGCGAAGCCAGTTAATCCAACCTACAAATGTACTTTATGTGGTAACAAGCAATAAAATTGGATCTATTCGACTCAAATAAATACATTAAACAAAACAATGCAAACATTTTGATGAGCAAAAGTGACATTTCAATTCAAACCTCAAAACCACTTCAAATCGTCCTCTCTTCCACTTTTTAGTGTATTCATCAGTCTAATTATTTCATTGACCCTTTAAAAGTTCAGTGAAACAGCAGCAGCTGCAGGATGACTGTTCAGCTTTGATGTGTTTGATTGATGTGCCACCTTTTATTCATTATTTATGGACCAAGGTCTCTACATACGACTGGCACTATTCTGCTGACTCATGAAAAAAAGGACTTTTCTCTAATAGAGTGCTTTATTGTCAGTATGCAGTAGCTTTACAGATTATTCAGCATGCGCTGCACTTCTAAATAATCACTGCAGAGAAGTAATGAGAACAAACGGACTCAAAAACCCACAGAATCAATGCTTCATGCACTTTTTATGGAATCTTATCTTACTAAGCAGTTCAACATTTGGAATATCAAAGGATCACCAGATGCATAAATGCATACTAATTTAATGCTTTTCAAGAATGCCGTATCTGTTTAACATGAAGGTGTTGTCAGCCCACATTTATTTCTCTTTTCAGTAGCGTGACCGAAGATTAAGCTCTTGTCCTGTAGTATTTCATCTCATCCTACAGCCAATTTTGAGAATCCACCAGCAGATCTAAGAGCATAGCTAATCGGCAATCCATTTCACACTCTCTACAGTTTACTGGATGGGATGAGTGCTACATCTATCTGCCTCAGGGTGCTTAAGAACACTATCAGACTATATTTTAATGCTGCGTTGCAAACATCCTTGCTAAATCTTTCACTTTTTATGACGATTTTTGCCGTCATGGTGCCAAAATGCATTAAAAATGACTCATTAACACCTTTCCTCCTCCCTGGAAGGGCCCTACATCACATCTAAAGCAGTCAAAGAAATGTAACAATGCTCTCTATGGGTGTAATATTTATAGTAGATGAACAACAAAACTAACTGTAACTGCGCATAGCAGCACAGATCAATAGTACTGAAAGAAAATAAGGGATAATGAGGGATAAAACTTTCTAAAAAGTAAAATAAAATGCACATCAAGATTACCTTGATTTTCCTAGTTTAGCGTGCATGCAATCCTCTTTATCTCTGCAACAGCTGACATTTAGTGCCAGTTAAGGCCCAGTCTTGGACTTAAACTGTAGTGTCAATTGAACACAATATTAGAATAAGCTTAGGCTCAATCTGAGTCTGAGAAACTGAAGCTTAACCACTTAAAATACCATCCTTATTACATCTTGAGGCTTATAATTCAGCAACTACATGGAATGCAATGCAAACAAGCTGAAATATTCTTAGACATTCGAACCCATGACTGTGTTCTGGAGTTTAAGTGGTTTAATTTAGACCTAAAACTGGAATTAATCACAGTCACATTAACTCCACTTTGTGATAGCCGCTCTTTAAAGCTAATTCATAACGCCTCATGTAAATACAGGGATGCTCCTCAGCCTTTGGCACACGGACCGATCCCTAATCAGCAGCACCAAACTGTAACAGAAAGCAATGTGTAGCTCCAATGTATAGCACCAGCTCTAGACATCAGCAGGCTGGATGGTGCTGTCCCATTCTTATGGGTCTGCTGCACTTTTTGCCCATCTCAGACAAAAAGAGCAGCTCCTCTCTGAAAGTATTTTACAACTCTGTCGATATTCCCCCTCGACGCTCAAAGAGGAGCCTTAATTTAACGCTCCAGAGTGCTGTCATTTTCCTCCCAAAGTACCCTGGGGTTCATATTGAGCCGGGACAGAGGACCGGGTCCTCTAAAGATTTGCACTGATCTCTGTACGAATGAATCGATGGGACAATAATGAGAGTATCACGAGAAATATGCGGCTGTCATCACAACAGACAAGAGTTACATCCTGACCTGATGCAGATCTGCTGAGCCGTACAAACGAGACTTTATCTCAGATAACAGGGTGAAAAGGGCACCACAACTACTTGGTGATATTTCATAAATTTTACAAAGCAGGGAAGAAATGCTCATGATTTTAATAGAAAATCCTTTTTTTCCTATGCGTGTTTTATGACATACTCTATTTTATAAAATAGATCAAGTCAAATGCCTTTTGAACTTTGTCCAAAATGAGCAAACAGAGCTAAATAATGCTGGAAAAAGCAACATACTGTATTTACTATTCATTTATGAATATATAAATCACGTGGAATACATTATAGTGAAATACTTTTAAAATACATTACAATTTTTTCCAAAAGTAACTAAACTGAGACCCAGAAATGTGTTATTGATATGGAAATGGTGAGTAAATTCAACGCATTACCATAAATACCTACTTACACTCTAGATTATAAAATAGATCTGAAAAAGTCAACTTACTATCCAAAATTAAATCAGGTGAATTTGCCTTCACCCTCACCCACCCCCTCCCCCGACATACCTGTGCTGAGTGCAGATCAGGCACCTGTCCTGAGAAGATGAACTGGAAAGTAGCAGTTGCCTCCTATTCTCTGCTTGCGTTTGTATCAGAGAGGATGCTGTTGCTCAGCCCCTCTTATAGGGACACACCCCTCAGTGTGGTCCAACCCCTGCCCCCCCTTTCAACAACTAACTGTGGGGGGAAAGAGCAGGAGACACGGGGGGAGAGCCTCTTACGTACAGATGTGGACGGACACGCCTCACCGTGTCAACACACACGTCTGAGCAATCTCCTACGCCAAGCGTTAACTCTCACTGAGATCAGACCAGGGGGGCTAAAAATACAGCCCAAACGTTTCCCCCCCAATAGACTCATCTCAAAGTCCGTCCTTCAACACTTTCTATCCATCTTTTACGTCTGAGGAGAGCCTGTGATGCTTTGTCATTTCTCTAAAGCGAATCCTCTGTAAAACGTCTCATATTGGTTTTTCTCAAAAGTACTCTTGAAAATTCTGAGCTCAAAAAATGCAGCTTCAGGTTTCATTTACAATCTTACACTCGAACACCTCTTCAGTCACAAAGTATCTTTCACTTAGGACACTGTTAGAAATAAAAGCTCTGTGCAGGTACATTTTTCATTCATCGATGTAAATGGACCCTTAAAGGTACAACAGTGGTTTTAAGGTCCAATTGTGTACCTTAAATAGGTTTTTCCCAGGTGAAAAGTACAGATTTGTACCTTTCCTAACCGAATGTTTTAAAACGGAACAATAAAATAAAAAGCCCAGAGACGAGACGGGGTGTGTGGAGTTAATACAACTTAGAAAGTATCATTTCAGTGGATTATGGTACAGTTATGTTCCCTGACTTAAGGTACTGAGATGTGACCCTTGAGGGTTCCACCACAGTGACAAGAGGGACAGTGACAGTTTAGTACCTTTATTTTTGAGAGTGTAATTTATGTAAGTTATGAATGATTTTAACTCTTAGTTGCTTTACTATCAAGGTCTACTATCAAGTAACTAATGATCCATAGGAGTTACTTAGAAAAGCTGAATGCTACACTGCACAAAATGGTATCTTGTCAATTGAAATGATCTTAAATCTAGTCAATATATCTAATATTTTTAGATGGTTGTGCACTTATTATAGGATTATCTAGCAAAATTATCTGCCCATATAATGAGATTTTTACTTAATAAAACTGCTTACAACAAGTAAAAATATCTAAAATTAAGGTAAATAATCTTAAATTAAGCTTACAACAATCACAACAAGAGAAATATTAGATTTATTGACTATATTTAAGATAATTTTACTTGACAAGATACACTTTTTTGCAGTCTAAGTCTATAATTTAAGGTAATTTTAGAGATAAATCATTGAATTTAGAAGCCTAAAAAGCAGATATCCTAGATCATTTTATTTCTTCCCCTAAGGTCCATCTATAGCCATTGTGTGGGTTTATGTACTGAAAATGTTGCTTTGAATTTACTCGATAGAGATGTGTACATTTGCTCCACATGAATTAAATATATGACATCAAAACAATTAAATTCTCTGAGAAAAGCAACTGAACTGTCATGTCTTCAGTACCTTTCAGCAGGGAGCAAAATTGTAGCATATTCTGTTATAATGACATTTTTAAAGTTACATTCTGTACACCTTACCTTGACTCCAGGGTTTTATGTTAGTTTTCTATTTTAAAACATTTACTTTAAAACAAATGTGCCCTGTCACTATAGTGTACCTTTACAACTCATTTAAGGTACACGATTGGACCTTAAAACAATTGTTATACCTTTAAGGCTACATTTACACTGTTTATACCTTGGTATAAGAATGTTCCTGTATGGCATCTTTTTCTGACAGTGTATTATCATCCATTTTACTAGCTTTTGGTTGAGATAATAATAATAATAATACATTTAATTTAGGTATGATGCTCTCTCGAAGAGCTTGAAGGGCTTAAAATAGATAAAAAGTCCAAACGAATGTGGATTTCCATAATTAAAAGACACAGACAAAACAATTATGCAACAATATACATCTCTAAAATGATACATTATGAGAAAAGATCTGTCTGCTGGGCGGATGTTATCAGGGAGTTGATTCTACGGAAGTGATGCAGTAGCAGAGAAAGCTCTATCACTCATCGAATGGGGCCTGGTCTTGGGTACAACCAGCAATCCAGAGTTAGCTGAATGGAGCCAGTGAGATGGATAAGGATACCATTTCAGATATGTAATCAGGAACAGAGTCATGTAGGGCTTTTCAGATAAGATGTAGCACCTTATAAATAAGCAGTGCAGCTCTTTGAGAATGGGTTTGATATGGTGATGCACAGAGGTGGTTGTAAGTAGCCACACAGCTGCATTTTACCAGTGTGGAACCAATGTACACTTTTGAATTAAATAATTTCAATTTTCTAATTTTTCAATTTTCAAGTTTCATTTTTTTAATGTACCAAAAGAACGGTCATAACTCATTTCTTACATGACCACTTTCCAACCTCTCATTATCCCATAGAATTAAACAGGCTTTTATTACTGTGCCTTTAAGACTGATATATGTAAATTAACTTAACTCTGATTGGTTGCCCTGTATTAAACCTTATTCAAAAAGCAGTCCAGAGCTGAAATTCTCCTTATAACTTTAATGCATGGTGGCAAACTGCTATAGGCTGAATAGGTGTATGTATGTAAATGCTTTGTTTTTGTGACATCAGAGAAACAATTAATTCAAAATGAGCTTGTTTTGGAGCTTAGTTTTCAAATATTGACTTTATAGGCTGGAGAGTAAACTGTACACTTTGAAACTGTTATCATTTAACTCTTAAAACTTAAAGTTAAACATCAACTACAGAAGCTTTAAAGTTGGTCTGTATTGTGCCTCATTTAAAAAGTAGTCAGTTTTCAGACTGTTTTGCAGCTTAGTTTCCATAAATGGACTGCATGAACTGTGAATTTGATGGTACATTTTGAAACTTTAGCTCCTTAGATGGCCAGGGCCCATAAGAATAGCCTAAGAACAGACCAGCCAGTTTGCACTGAAGTCCCTGTAGTTGCTGAATAATAAGCCTTAGTATGTAATAAGCCTGAGATTTTAAGGGGTTCACAGCATTTACATGCTACTACAAAACTCTTTATTTAAAAAAAAAAAGGTGAAGAAAAATTGTTTTTCCATGATATGGGCTACATGTGTCTCAGTTTATTCCAAAACCACTGAACATAATGTCCAGAGACACACGTCTCCACTGAAGGTCAAATGTTCCCTTTCCACCAGAGCATGCAGCTTTACTATGGAAATACAATAGAAGGGTAAAGCATTAAGAGCTGTATGAGGTGGGAACAGCAGACACATAAAAAGTGGGACCTTAACTTCATTCAAGTTTACTAATGATTTAAGTGTCCAAATATTTCCTGGGGCCACTGAATGAGATGTCAGTCAAATTCTTAATTTATTCATACCTGTTTTACGTGGTAATCATTTTCAGTAAAAACTCTTAAAGAACAGTTCTGCTGGGACAAATGTTCTAGAAAAGTTGTGCAACATTAATCATTGCCAGAGAGATGGCATATCAACACGGCTCCAGGCATATAATAACACTTCTTTATATGGAAAGTATAAATATATATCAGATCAGGACATTCACTGAGGCTTTTTCTTTGAATGGCAGTTTAGAAATAAAACTATTTCATGGTGCTGCAACAAAATCAAAAATATAATGTTGCTGCACAGGACTTTTCAGTTAGCTTTACTTCCTGTGGACAATGTGTGAATTGAAACACAGCCTTGGGTGGCAAGTCCAGGCCGGCCAAATAGAAACGGGACAGGACTGTTACTGCGAGAAAGAAACTAGAGAATTGATCGGCCTGGTTTTGGTGTGAGCAGACAATCCCGATGCCAAACACGAACACATACACAGAGGCCTGTAGACCAGGCTTAAACCACCATGTGCATGTCTTCGAGCAAAGAGAGCCGTCCTTATTATGATGATAATAACGGGCTCTCACTGCGCTGATCATCTCCTAGGGCTCTAAGGGCTCGCTGGCCGAGATGAGCTCTCATTGTGGCTCCCAGTTGGACGGCTTTGGACGAGGCGATTTGATAACTGTGTTATGGGATGAGTTCTGCCCGTTGAGCTGCCTTCTGCATGTGAGCACGCTGGGGTAATAGGACAGTGAAGAGCCCCTCACTGAGAGCACATTAAGAATGTGGTTCAGTTGGCTCAGGATCAGTTGGAGGGTGAGAGTGCTATCAGATGCTTGCATTTGCAGTGATTTATTGTCGCTGGATATTGTGAAGGATTTGACTATAACTAGGTGAACTACTTCAGAGAGGTCAGTCCAAGGTTCAGCACTGTTAGGTAATAATAGGGTTCCTTCTGGGGATTGCCTGTCAGTACAGTGTGAAAAAGAAATGGTGGCATTTGTAAGCTACAAATGCATGAAGACACGTGATGCATAACATCATTTTCAGCCATGTAAATAGGTTTTGCGGGCAATACTTAAGCTAAAGTGGAATTTATAGTGACCTAGAAGTGCATGCAGTAAGTGAGCCTATTCGGTCTAATCAAACTATCGGCATCAGGACACATAACATGGGTCAAAACACAGGCAAGCAGATACACCATATTACTGCTGTCCCAAAATGGTAACTTCATAAGAGAAGTCGAAAATGTTTTTCTTAGTTAATATGAAGATGTTTTATTTTATACTTGTTTTTGTTTTTATACAGCGGCGGTACATAGATCTTCTTAGAGCGGTATTCCATCAATTTTTGAAAATCCACAATTCAATTATCAAGATTTAAACAAAGTCATTCAGCGTGGTTTGATATTAAATGGTTATACAGTTACTAATTCCTTTCTTCATGTTTAATTTCATCATGTTTTGCTGGTGACAACATCTGTACTGCTCTGTGATTGGTCACATCTCTCACTTTAGAGCTTTAGCATTTCATTTTAGACGAAACAAATCCCAAAAAGAGAAGGACAGAGCCTAAAAGTCTTCAGTTCCTGTGCTGATAGATGCTGAATTTACTAAGAAGTTTCACTGCAGTTCTGTAAGTTACTTAGCATTACCAGGTTGAAGTGGCACAAATCTAATATTTTGCCCTAATGTGACTCAG